GATCTCTTGAGTGGTAACAGCTAATTTAGACCCCATCATTTTATATGTAGCGTTGGCATTATTTTTTCCAATGTGTATTAGTTTCCATTTATAAACATTAAATTTCATTTGCCATTTTGTTCCCCAGTCACCCAGTTTAGTGAGATCCCTTTGTAGCTCTTCGCAGTCAGTTTTGGGCTTAACTCTCTTGACTAATTTTTTATCGTCTGCAAATTTCACAACCTCACTGTTTCCCCCCCATTTTGCAGATCATTTATGATTAAGTTGAACAGCTCTGATCCCACTACAGATCCCTGGGGAATCCTTCTATTTACCCCTCCACTGTGACAATGGACCATTCATTCCTACCCTTTGTTTCCTATCTTTTAACCAGTTACTGACCCATGAGGGAACCTTCCCTCTTATCCCATGACAGCTTACTTTGCTTAAGAGCCTTTTGTTGAGGGACCATGTCAAAGGCTTCCTGAAAATCCAAATACACTATATTCTCACCCTAAATGATGTTTTAGACAGATTGCAGAGACTTGCTTGCAGCTTAAAACTCCAGATATTCCTTTCACAGGCCAGACACCCTCTAGCCTGGGCTCACCAAACCTACCCCCAGCCCCCGCCCCAGCTCAGTCCCTTTGTTTCTCAGGTGTTTCCAGCAGCCTTCTTTCTCGGATGGGGTCTCAGTGAAGAATGAACCACGATAATGTCACTCCCCTGCCTTAAATAATTTTTGCACATGGCAGGAATCCTTTGTCTCCCAGTGTGGTTCCCACCCCAGTTAGTGGAAAAATACTAGTATTATCATGGAGTCCAGTACCAGGGTGACTTGGTCACATGACCCTGCAGCCATAACCCGGAGACTGTTTTTAGCATCCCCAGGAAGACTTCTCAGTGGGTGATTAGCAGCTTCAAAGACTTTTTGTTTTCCCTAATGGCCCTTCCCCACCGGCCATCCGGACTAATTGCATTCTGTCTAGTGGGCGTTCCCCAGGTGTAAACACATTTGTGATAGATGCATAGACAATATTCCTAACTTCAGAGACAAAAATGATACATGTATACAAATAGGATAATCATATTCAGTAAATCATAAACTTTTCAATGATACCGCACATGACCTATCTGGTGTAAAAGACATCCTAGTTATGCTATAATCATATGACAACAAGATCTCTATGAAGGATATGGGGGCATAGTGTTAAAGTCTTCTCCTTCTGTACAGTGGCAGAGGAGCGTCAGAGGATAAACAAGACCTGTCTGACATCCAGGGAATGTAAACTTGGCTACGTGTCTCTGAAATTTTGGAATGGAAAGACGCTCAGGTTTCAGAAATTCTGTTGCGTGGGAGATGCCTGCAGAACAACCACCTTTAAACGTAAGTCTTTCCATCTCTGTCTCTCCCCTCACCATTCCTCTGCATCGCCAGCTTCCTGGAACCTACCCCAGGTTAACTTCCTGAGACTGGTCCTCCTGTCCTACAGGAGGCGCCCCACTGAATAACACTGAGCCCCTGGGTGGGTGGAGTTTAGTGGGCGGGGCTTTAGGCTCAAACAAGGTGTGAACCCAGCTGGCCCCACCTGGGGTGGGACCCAGGGCTCCCTGCTGCAAACCTCTCCCCTGCCCCTGCTGCCTCCAGCGACCCCGGAGCTACAGCTCCCCCTGCAGGGGGCACCCAGGGCTGAGCTGTGCAGCCCCCAGCTGCTCTCCCTGCCCTGACGCCGCCTGGGGCGCGTCCCCCGAGCTGACTGCATTTGCTTCGCTTCTTCCCAGTGCCCCCGGCTGACACCAAACCCAACGGCCGGAGCTGCCGTGGCTGCATCTTCTCATTCCCAGGTCCATGCATGGAAGGGACCATAGAGTGTACTGGAGCCGAGACCCAGTGTTACTACTCAACCCAGAAAAGAGGCACGTGGTAACTTCAGTTCATTTATTCTGGGTTTTTCTTGTTGCAACAAGTTCATAAGCATCCCTGAGTCAGCCCCAGAGCCCTGATGACTCTCTCAGTCATTCCTTCCCATGGCTTGGACCTTTGGTCCCCGGGGATCAGCAAAGGTGCCCCCCTCCTGGTGTAGCTTCGCAAGGCTGGTTTTTAGTAACCGGGGCTGGGGAATGTGCATTAACCTCACTCTAGAGATTCCCTGGGAAAACCACATATCACTTGTTCCAAAAGTCCATCCCTGGCTGGCACATGGTTCAGTGCAGGCCTCTGGACCCCCAGGTCTCACATCTGTCCCAAACTCCTACTCTAGGACAGGATGTTGTGGGCTCTGCTGGGTAGAGATATTGACTGGACATCAGGACACCTGGGTCCTATTCCCAGCGCTGGCTCCTGTGTAACTTTGAGCCAGTGGCTTTCCCTCTCTTTGCCTCCGTTTCCCCTCCCTCCTTTTGCCTATCTAGAGTTTAATGTGTAAGCTCTTTGTGGTAGGGCCTGGCTTAGTATTGGGAGTCCCTAGTGCGCCAGGCGCTGCACAGACCCCGACCGAGATGGGAAACCCTCGTTGTGCCAGGCACTGAATAAGTTCATAGTGACAGTCCTTGCGCCAAAGAGCTTGTGATCTAAACAGGCAAAGGAAGGATCATTCTCCCTGTTTTACAGCTGGGGAAACTGAGGCACAGTGCAATGAGGTGACTTGCCCAAGGTCACACAGGAAGGCTGGGGCAGAACTGGGAATTGACTCTAGTTTTCCTGAGTCCCATCATGGTGCCTTAATTCCTGACAAAACCTCATAGAGATCCCACTGCTGCCACCTACACTGAGCTACTGCTTTGGTAGATGAGCAGTGGGGTAATAAAGGCCCAATCCAAACCAGGGGTCATCGGTGGTCTTTGGATCAGGGCTACAAGTGACTTGCTCAAGGACCCACAGTGAGTCTGCATCAGAGCAGAGGAGAAGGGGGAGGTCATCCAGGGACAGACAGGCTGTAGGGAGCAGAGATGGGGAGATGGAGGCAGTGGGGGGCCTAGGTGGGGCTCTGAGGAGCAGAGGATGGGGTGGTCATTGTGTCCCAGAGCAGCTCCTGACACCCCTGACACCAATCACCTGCTTTTCCCTCCATCACAGGTGGAGGTGACACATTAAACATCGTGCAGGGCTGTGCTACCGAGTCCCTCTGCAACATGATAGAGGATTTGCAGACCCACAACGGGAACAGTAAAGATAGAAGCCTGGAAAAATGCAGAGCAGCCTCTGGCGCGGCCGGCACGGCTCCGGGACCAGCCGGGTTCCTCTTCCCAGCCCTCGCTGGGCTCCTCCTGCTGCAGCTCCTTTCCTGATTTCCACCCCATGCAAGGGCCACGCTGCACTCAATTACACCCCCGTCACTTGCGTCTGCTGCTCTCTTCAGCTGCTCTCCCTTCCCAGGGGCTCTGGGTTCCCGGCCGGATTCGCTTCCCCTTTCTATCGTTCCCCTTAATTAAAAAACGGGAGCCCAGAAATTCTTTGGAAATTTTACATTTATTTTGATGAGGAAAATTGTGATTCAAATGAGTGGAGCAGACAAGAAGCTGCTTAGTCTTAGAGTGACCCCTAGCGGTGACATTAGGCAACACAGTCCTGGAGCTACAATTCTCAATTCTTTTTATATCTAGGCGTGGCCAAATTTTATTTTGATTTTTTTCTATGGATCATAAGGTGTTTACTTTTAAGCATTTTTTTCTATTTTTATCCATTTAAATGTTCGCCGTTGTGGGAAATGATGAGGGGCAATGATGACTTAATGACAAAAAGAACAGGAGGACTTGTGGCACCTTAGAGACTAACACATTTATTAGAGCATAAGCTTTCGTGGGCTACAGCCCACTTCTTCGGAGTGAAGGGTCAGGGTGCCTGTCTGACGGGGGCCCCACAGATGCGGGCAGGGGACACACTAGCCGTGGAGTCAGCAATGGGCCATTTTCCTTCCATCACGGGTTCCTCCTTGTAGAGTACTAAAGAAAGAAACAACACACAGCTCAACACACAGCTCTGCCTCCTGACCTTCCTCTTCTGGTGAGCTCAGCTGGGTAACTCCCTTAGACCCCCAGCTGCCTTCATCTCACCAGCCACGTGACTATCCCCCTTTCAGAAGTAGGGAAACCAAGGCACAGAGACAGGGAACAGACGAGCTCAAGGTCACTCAGCAGGCAAGTGGCGGAGCTAATCCCATGGCAGGGTTCTCTCCACCCCACCACGCTGCCTTCCTGGCGCAGGAAAGGGTGTCCTTCCCCCCAACCCCATCCACCTGGCCAGTCGCTGGAGCTGGGGTAGGACATCAGAGCCCTTCTCAGAAGTGGGGACAGAGGGTGGATCCATCGCCAGTGCAAAACCACCCTGCGGCCACAAGTCCCAGAGCCCGGGTCAACTTGTGGGGCTCAAGAAGCAGGACACATGCTCTGTTCAGCCTGGAGCTGGGGCTCTAACATGGGCTCCCTGCACTTCACAGAACTCACCTCCACCCCTGGCAAGGGGCACCCAGCCTGAAAACCTCTTAGGAGGGCGCAGTAAGTGACACCCTCTGGGCTAGGGATGCTGTAACCACTAGACCTCACTCCCCTCCCTGACTAGAGAGAGAACCCAGCAGTCCTGGCTCCCTGCTTCTGCTTTAACCACTAAACCCATCGCCCCTCCCAGAGATGGGATAGAACCCAGGAGCCCCGACAACCAGTTTTAAGGACTTGACCCCACTCACCTCTGCATGGAACCCAGGAATCCTGGCTCCCAGCCCCACCCCCCACCCTACTCTAATCACTAGACCCCGCTCACCATTGTATGCTGTTCAGGAGTCCTGACCTTGAGGTCACCCCAGACCTCACTCCTGTCTCTGTGAAAGACTTTCAGTCCCAACCACCCCCTGCTCTACTACACCCTACTCCCCACTCTGCAGAATCCAGGAGTCCTGCCACTCCCAACCCCCACTCCTCTAACCAGTGCATTTCTCCCAGGGACGGGAATGAGAGTCCTTCCCTTAATCCACATGCCATTAGCAAGCCAGGGATAGGACCCAGGAGTCCTGCCGCCCCGTCCATTGGTGACCCATTTCCCCATGTTGGCACCCCAAGGTTTAAGGGAAAGGCGGATTCACTCATCCCTGTGGCTTTTGTCTCTCAGCGGACGGGGAGGAGAGTTGATCAGTGCGCTCGTGTGTCCGAAATGTGCTCACCAGTGGGTAGGGGCAGCGCTGGGAGCAGAAATAGAAATGTAAGGACTGAACCAAACAAAGACGACAGGGCTTGTTCAGTTTCTGTGTCACGTCGGAGCATGAACCTGAGCCCGTCGATAAAAGGAGAGGATGGACAGAGACACTGATACATCTTTTCCCGTTCACAAAACTCACTTTCTAGTTCACCCCAGGCAAACATTACCCAGTCTGGCTCCCCATAAAGAGCATTTGGTAAGTGTGACAAACAGGATCAATGAACAGCTGCGTCCCCTCAGTTCTCCAACCCAGGGTCCTTTTTACACTGCTTTGCTACTGGAGCCACCACTCCTGGAGCTGCTCACACCCGGCCTCCAGTGTGTAAATCACTCCCAGTCATATTGCACGAGCGCTGCCACCCGCAAATCACACTGCAGCCAATTCCCAGTCCCAGACTTTCCCCGGAAATGTGCATCTGTACTGCCCAGCTCTCTCCGGGACAACACAACACATAGAAAGTCTGGCACTTTATTAATAGAAATGATATGCACAAATCCTGTTATCTCCAATGGAGTTTCCCAAACGCTTCAGTCCAAACAGACTGGTTTAGCTCAAACAATAAAAGCAGTTTATTAACTACAGATTTTAAGTGGTTACAAAGTAATGACGCATGAAAGTCAGAACTCGTTACAAGAAAATGAAAGTAAAATACAGCTAATGCCTAACCAACTAACTAATGCCTAATGTTGTATGGAAGAACGTGTTGGGTGCATTAGTAATAATAATACTGTACGACCTTATAACATCTATTTATACTTAAAAAGAGAAAAAATGTCATTATCGATTGAATCTCTTGCCACATAAGAATTCTGTGATTATATATGTATTAGAAATTACTGTAAGACGTATATCCATTCGTGCAATAGTTCTACCCTTGTTCAAACAATTGTTAATTCCTGTTCATTTGTAAAGACGTTTATAAAGAGCCCAGAAAAAAATGCACACAGTGTCATGCTCACTGTCCACCACTCTACAAATGAAACGAAACACTTTTTGGCAGAAATGGCAGGAGGTATTTACGGGATAGTCTTCCACAACAATAGGGTTCTTTAATGCACTCCTGCCTCCTGTTGTAGTGATCTTAATGTTTCACATATTGGTGGTGATTGAGATGTTGATCTTACTTTATCTTATGTAATTCCAGCCTCTTCTCTATTAATTATGGGCATGGAAAGAGAACAAGGATGAATGTTGCTTGCTGCATGGGAGACGCCTGCAGAACAACCACCGTTACACGCACATCTCCCCAATTCTGCCTCGCCTCCCCCAGCCCCTGCATCTCCTGTTCCCTGGAAACTACCCAACGTTAACTTCCTGAGCCTGGTCCTCCTGCCCTGCAGGGGGCGCCCCATTGAATAACACTGAGCCCCTGGCTAGGTGGAGTTTAGTGGGCGGGGTTCTAGGCTGCCCCCAGATGTGAATCCAGCTGATTGTACCCGGGGAGGGATCCAGGGTAACCTGTTGCAAACCTCTCTGCTGGGGAGATAAGAGCAGATGGGGAGATGGAGGCTGTGGGAGGCCTAGATGGGGCTCTGTGGAGCAGAGGAGGGGACAGCCGTTGTGTCCCAGACCAGCTTGTGCAGTGGAGTTGCTGCCCTAATGCATATCATCTGCTTTTCCCCACAATGCACACAGATGGAGCTGCCCCATGGGACATCCTGCAGGGCTGTGCTACCGAGTCCATCTGCACCCAGATAACAGTGGGTTCAGGGACCAACACAGGACCTCCAACCATTTCCACATGCACAGCAGCCTCTGGTGCGGCCAGTACAGCTCTGGGACCAGCCTGGCTCCTCCTCCCACAGCTACTCTCCTGATTCACCACCATACTCAGTAATGCCCCTGCCACTTTCATCTGCCCCTCTCTGCAGCCACTCTCCCCCTGCCCAAGGGCTCTGGGCTCCCGACCAGATTCGCTTCCCATTTAAATTGTTCTGCTTAATAAACAAATTGGAGGCCAGATTCTTGGGAATTTTTATATTTATTTTGATGGGCAAAATTTTAATTCTAGTGGGTGGGGCTGTCAAGAAGACACTTAGAGGTAGAGTGTCCCCTAGTGGTAAAATCAGACCGTGCAGGATGGGAGCTACAATTCTCAATAAAGAAACTTTTTATATATAGGCTTGGCCAAATTATATTTTTAGCTTTTTAAAAATTTCAGTGGATAACATTGATGTTTATTTTGAAGCATTTTTCTATTTTTCACCATTTAAATTTTCACCATTGTGGGAAATGACGGGGGGGGGGGGATAATGATTTAATGACAGTAGACATTGACATTGAAAAAGTTAAAGCTTTTTAACTGTTAAAACACAAACTGTCAACATCACCTGTGAAAAGATACAAAGCAAATAGCCTAAAATCAAACTCTAACAAGTTCTCAAAAAGCATTTTTCTTACTATGCCTGTTGGAAAATATTGTTATATTGTTAAAAATATTGTTATATTATTATTATATAAATATTGTTATACATACTGTTATTATTGACACAAATATCTGTTCCTTGGCTGGGGTGTGTTTGGTGTAATTGATGTTGATCAATATTTACTGATTAAAATCTTATCCTTTCAAACTATTTTACTCCTGGGGGAATTCTGTGCCAAAAACCTAAAAATTCTCTACACTATATTTGAAAAATCTGCATATTTTATTTGTCCACATAACCCAATATAATCATGCCAGTTTCAATCATTTTGGTAATTTTTTTCAAAATATCTGTCAGCAAGTATGTCTATAGCAATACAGCCGGGAAAAAAAAAGATTTTTTTTTTGGCAAATAGATTCCTTAATAGGCATATTAATACAGATCTTTGAGTACTTCATTTAAATTACAATACAGACCTGTATTTCCTGCACTCATCAGAAGCAAGGCAAAGGCTGTGAGGAGTCTGGGGTAACGGAGGAGCTGAGGGAGAGGGATGGAGCCTAGGAGTGAACCTGGAGGGTGTTGGGTGTGGGTGGGAGAGGATTTTTTGG